TTAAATGTCTGAGCGTTCGGTTCAGCTCAGCTGTATATAAATACTTTACACTTTAAAATATGTAACGTTCGGTCTTATACCGAACGTTCGTTCTAAACAATGCTCGGTCTTAAACCAAGCGTTCGTCCTAAATAGCGCTCGGTGTTAAACCAAGCGTTCGTCCTAAAGAGCGCTCGGTCTTGTACTAAGCGTTCGTCATGATTGATTCTTGGTCATCTACCTAAGGGTTCGTTTTAATGAAGTGTTCGGTCTTAGATTGAACGCTCGTCCTATCGTTGATTCCTTAACGAACGTAAATAGCGTTCGTCCAAATACTTAATAAATGTATATTGTCGCGTTCGGTCATTGACTGGCAGTCGACCTCTTTTGAAACAAAAGGTTCCTAATGTAGTTAAGTATTCTGCTTGATGTATCTTCGTCCAAGAGGAGTCAACCTGTCCTCTTGGTACTTAAAATATTATGAAAATAGTCGTATTATTCTGGAGTCTTTCTGATTGTTAACGAGTTCTTCTAAATCTGGCTTTTAACGTTCGTCCTCTTCCTTCAGAAAGTTGAACGTTCGTCCTTTTAAGAGAGTGGAACATAGAATGAAAATGTTATGAATATGAAATATTAAGAGGTGTGAACACTATATTAAATGATTATACGATTATGGAATTTGAACGAGCGTTCCATGGAGGAACGTCTCTTATATATATATTTGAATATTAAATTGGTAAAGTATGACTGTGGATAAGCTAGGCCAGGCTTGGTCCATCCTGATATTCCGTGACACTCATCTTCACGTAGAGGAGAGTAGTTCATGTGTGGGAATGGCAGGAGGTCCTTAGTCCATAAGTTAACATGGGCGACGTAAGAACGGACTAACCTCGAGTGGCAGCTGATTAGGTGTATCCCGGTTACTACATCACTCGGGTGCGAGGACGCCTGTAGCTACACGGTTTCATACAGTCCGGACGGTCGTCTTATATATATATATATAAATATATATACAATGTTACATGATGTTATATGTTAAACTATGTGATTGTGTGGAATGATTTGTTCATTGTATGTGTTGATGTATATCTTAAATTATATAAGCTTACCCTTTCGTTTTCCTTGTTGTCCATTGTATCTGTACGTTCGTCCTGTCTTGCAATGATCATCCGTGTGGATGTGAGCAGAAGGCGAAGCCACTCTAGAGGACGTTATCGAGGAAGAAAACCTAGTCGAAGTTGAAGTGAAAGCGGAACAGTAGGACGTCCGTCTTTTGTTTTAAGTTTAGGCGTTCGTTTTGTTTTTGGACGTTCGGTTATTTCTTTTGTAAAACCGTTCGTTGTTAACATTCACTGATTCTGATTTGTATATCATAACTCTGCCCTCTAAGCCGTTCGGCTTTTAACTCTGATTATATAAAGACTGCATTGTTCTACTGTTTAAATGTAATTAATTCTGATTATGGTAATCACTGTATTTTGGGATGTTACACTAAATAAAGAAGAACTACTAATATTTCAAGGATTAAAAATATATGTTAACTATATAATAAAAAAGTTGTTTATGTATGTTTTCATGAAAAAAAATCTATCAGAGATTATAAACAAAAGTAGTAAATTTTTCAAGAATTAAAACTATATGTTAACTTTAAAATTTAAGAAAGAAAATAGTTAATATCGTGATATGGATAAGTTTAACGAGAGTGATTAGATAAAATCCAAGTGAGTCATCCTAGTTTCAGCAATGGATTAGATAAAATCCAGTTTGGGTTTTTTTTTATAACTTTGCTGTATTGTTCCTTTGTATTGTGTCTTGGAAATACAAGGGATGATACTCATTTTTATGATTTAAAATATATTAAAATTTTAATATATCAACATTAATGTATTTTTAATGCTTGAAAAAAAAAACTCATCAAAAAATCTGATTTAGATAAAATCCAAGTGAGTCATCCTAGTTATTTTCTTTTGTTTTACTCTTGATCTTGACACAGTTTTAATCTCAATGTGGCTAAATGGTGAAGATGGAAACATTAAACACAGAACATAGTGCTAGCAGTTGACTCTGTCTTTGTCCCTTCTCAAATACCTTCCACCAGCCACATTGTTTTTTCTCTTGTACCTATCCCAATTTGCATAATATTTTATGCCATAAACTAATGCACAAACTCTTACAGGTTATGATGTCACTCTCAACCGTTTCAACACGCGTTTTGAAGGCTCCTCCTATCATTGAGTTAACAATTTTTTCTTATTGTCCCTGCATATTTTCTGAGTCTTCAAGATTCCTTAGTTTCAAACACTTCGTGTGCACCACAACAGCATGGGGTATGAAACCAGAACACTCTCAGATGAGTATGAAGTCTCAGATGTTCTAGGAAGAGGTGGATTTTCTGTTGTTAGAAAAGGCACAAGAAAATCAAGCAGTGACACCAAAAGCCTTGTGGCCATCAAAACTTTGAGAAGATCAGGCACTGCCTCAAACTCCAACCACCCTTCTGGGTTTCCAAGACCAAAGGGTGCAGAGAAGAGCTCAGCTGCTATGATGGGGCTCCCATGGAGACAAGTCTCAGTCTCAGATGCCTTGCTCACCAATGAGATTCTTGTGATGAGGAGAATAGTGGAAAACGTTTCACCTCACCCTAATGTGATTGACCTCTATGATGTGTATGAGGACTCAAATGGAGTGCACCTTGTGTTGGAGCTGTGTTCTGGTGGAGAACTGTTTGATAGGATTGTAGCACAAGATAGGTACTACCTCTCAAACATTCAAGCCCTTTAAAATGTTCTGAAAATCTCACTCGGTTATTACATGTAACTCACAAGTGCGTGTAATTTAGAAACATAGAAACATTGTTGAATGCAATATGTTTGAATCAATGACAGGTACTCAGAGACTGAAGCTGCAGGTGTGGTTCGCCAGATAGCTTCAGGATTAGAGGCTATTCATAGAGCTAACATTGTGCACAGGGACTTGAAGCCTGAGAATTGTCTTTTCTTGGATGTGAGGAGGGATTCTCCTCTTAAGATCATGGATTTTGGTTTGAGTTCTGTTGAAGAATTCACTGACCCAGTTGTTGGTTTGTTTGGATCCATTGATTATGTTTCACCAGAGGCTCTTTCTCAAGGGACGATAACTACCAAGAGTGACATGTGGTCTCTTGGGGTGATTCTATACATCTTACTCTCTGGGTATGTTGACTTTTTTTTTCAAAATCACATGTTCATTTTGTGTCTGTCTCCATCTACCCATGTGCAATTGCAGCACATATCATG